TTTCAACAAATGCTTTCTATTAAGGAAATTATTGATGTGTAGAACTTGAAGGTGGGTGCCCAAATTCACATAAACAGAACTCAAGGATCCTTTGAGAAAACAGTAACCAAAAGCCCAAAGCCTTCATCCCAGGCAGGATTTAGTTATTAAAACTTCACTAATTATCTTAGCATGGTGCTTGATAAACCATAAAGTCAGCCCAGGTATAACAACAATATTTACAAACAAAACTGTTAATTAAATGTAAGTGTTCCTTTCTGGTTTAAAATAGTCTGTTTATACAAATATACCAGTTACATGTGTAAGCTTACTTTGGAGTAATAACATGAATATGTGGATCTAAAAACAAAATTTCACATTACTAGAATCATGAATTCGAAAGTTTTTTTTGCTTCACTTACACTTTTTTTTCTTTGTTTTTAAAAGGGCAGAACATCAAAGTGTTCTTTCTTTTGTTTCTAACTTCCTGCGTTTTTCCCAGCAGGAGGTCATGGGAGGGAGACCAGTATACAGTCACTAAGCTCGTATTTGACCTATGTCCAGTAGATGGCAATATAACACCAAGCTTACGTGCCTTTGGTTCCGTGCATCACTCACTAGTCAAAGCCAGGCTGCAAGGCTGAGTGCCTGACATACAGAAGGAATGTTGCTTTAAATCTTTATTCTCTCTTTGCTTTAGCTTGATCCAGTCCAGCACTGGATAATAAATTGCTAAAGAAAGACCATTAAAGACCTACAGTAACAGATGGAGAGCGTGGTGTGATGAGGCAACCCCTGCTGCTTGTTCTGCACACTCAGACCTAACTTGATACACCTGCCTCCTTGGTTAAAGGTTGGTGGGGGAGCGCCATCAGGAAGGGATAGTCTACGTGACACTCATGTAGATCTTTCAGATGTTTCTTTAGTCGTAAGTGTGCCTCATTGCAGTTTCAATATAAGTCTTCAAAAACATGTCAGATGCTATAATGACCAATGATGACAATAATTATGATCATTTGAAAAGATTTTGCATCCCAGGGTAAGACTGTATTCAGAGCCAGTTTGTAAGCCAGACAAGAATGTCACACTCGTTGCTTTATAGTCATATGCTTCAACTTTAATTAAACAATTCAAGTTGATTACCATATTTTTTATTACACAACTCCTAAAAATCTCCATTGATTAGATTTGGAATATATGGCACTAATTTAGCATACTGTATACAACTTACTGTCATTCTAAGAGCATTCAAAATTGATCTATTTTTTTTTCTAAAATAAGGAGTCAGTGTCTCCACTAACTTTTTATACCTTCTCATCTATTTATACATGAACATGAATTCACAAGCTTATCTATTCATATCATGTCTCTTATGCATACTTACTATACTGACTAAAAGCAACAGTCCTGGTGAAGAGTAAATAGTGGATAGTAAAATCATTTAAAATTAGTGAAACAATTTAAATAAACATTTTAAAGTGTTATGCAATTTTTCATTCAAAAATTAAGAGAATATTTGAATTGCTTTATAGATTGTATTATCTTTAATGACAACTGGAGAATGACAAGTATCAAACATAAAAGTAAAGCATAAATAAATAAATTTGAGAACCAAATACATAGTGGTTTATATAATAAATATAAGTTGCTTGAATTTCCCTATTAGCAGAAAAAACTTCATTGGTTTAAAACACAAACCCTATTTTTACTTTGCATAGGGAAAAAAGCCTAAAATCACATAATGCTAAATATTTAGTGTAAAACAGAGAGAGAAAAGATGGGCAAATATAGGGCAAGAAAACACAATGAAGGAGAATAAGTAAAGGTGGCAATATTAATATCAGTGAGATATTGATAATGATTAATATCCATGTGAATTCAATGAATGTGTTAAATTTGACAAAATAGGGGTCAATATGCAATAGGAAACAAATAGAATCTATAATTAAGTTATAAAAGACATGAAACTTCAAATTAACAACATAAAATTCAAATAACATAAAATAGGCAGAAAAGACAAATACCATATTATTTTACTTATTTCTGTAACCTAAAAACAAAAAATAAAATAGCAGTAGACTCATAGGCACTGAGAAGTGATTGGTGGTTACTGTGGAGGAAGAGTTGGGGTGGGTGGGGATGGTGAAGGGGATAAAAGGGTACAAAAATTCTCTATTATAATATAAATTGGTCACAGGGATAGTAGTACAGCATGGATAATATAGTCAATGATTCTGTAATATCTTTCTACATTGACAGATAATAACTGCACTGGGGGGTAGGTAAGGATTTAGTAATATGGGTAACTGTTGAACCACTGTGTTGTATATTTGAAACCAGTATAAGATTGTATATCAACAATACTTCAATAAAAAATAAATTTAAAAAATAACATAAAAAGGAAAGAATTTTAGCAATATATAAAAATATAAACAGAAACATGATGGTAGCATTGAAATTTTAATGCTGTTAGTCTATAAAATAATGTAGAAAATAAGGACAAGAAGGATTATAAAATTTGACTCAAATGAGTAAAGTAGGGGCTAAGACTCTGGGGCGCTATAACCTAGATAGAACAGGAAATATAACTTCCTTTAAATATTTATCAATCATTCAATCATTCACAAAAATCATCACATATTAGACTACAAAGAAAATATCAATATTTCATTGAACAAAAATAAGTTGTATCTTAGATCACAATGCCTGAAATTAATTTTAAAATAAGTCTTAAACCAATCACTTTGATATTTAAAATCATACTGACAGATTACAGTGAAGTCAGAGAAAAAAATAAAATGAGAAAATTTAGTAATGGAAATTAAAGCACTATTCCCAAAATTTTGCAGAAGCAGTCAAAGTTACACACTGAAATTAACTCATAGCTTTATCAAACATGAACTGAAAGCAGACTGGCCTCATTTACTAAAGTCAATACAAGAATTCTAAAAACAGACACACTGTATAAATAATGAAATCTATCACTTATTGAATGTTCACTTTGTAGCAGGCTAAATACTTTACCTGGAAGTATTTTTATCTTCCCAGCAATCCTACCAAACTCTTAAACAATACCTTATACTCTACAGCATGCCCTTAGATAATAATAACGATCATTTATTGAGCACTTACTATGTGCAAGAGCAATAGACCATAGGAGCTGTTAGGTGGCAGAACTATGATTCAAACCCAATCAATATTTTCCCAATTCTTTACCCACAGTGACAGAATTCAAAATCACATTAATAAGTTATTCATCATGATTAAGAAGAATTCTTAGAAATATAAAAATGATTCGATACTAGAACATATATTTATCTAATGCATCACTGTCATAGCAGAGTTTCTTAAGGATTTATTGTGATGTGGAATCTAAACCTAAAACTTTGAACTTTTAAATTTCTGTTACATAAAAACCTATCAATCTGACCTACTCTTTGAATAGGTCTTTTTTACTCATGCATAATTTTATAACATATGCATTTGTCATTCAGAAAATACTGGTTCACTGAATTATTCAGATCTTACAAATTGATAGGTGTTTCAATTTATATAATCAACTAATTTATTTGTTAACAAAGGTCTGTAAGTTTTGGGAACTTATCAAGTTCACCGTGGTAGATTTTCAAAGTTCTAATTTTTTATTGAAAGCTTCAACTGCTATCATTGACAACAATTGTTTTCCTTGAAATGAGAGCTTCACTTTATAAATATCTTGGGGAAATATTGTCGATTTCCCAAGTTTGAATAACCATAGTTTGACTTTCTTTCTTTCAAGTAAAAATGGATTCTGTGAAGAGTGGCTAGTTTAGCTTACAACTCAATTATATAAGTGCTTTCCCATGCTTGTCTCAGAAGTGCTTGTCACACAGAATATTAAAAAAACTATCAGAGAATATTAAAAAGATGTGTACTCAAAAGTCAAGATTTAATAAAGCAAATAATCTTGCTATTTTGTCAAGGACATTCTTAGGTGAAACTGGCATTTAAAAAAATTCTAGTTATTACAGTGAAAAATATATCAATGACTTAGTACCTTTCGGTGCTACTATCTTGCTTGACACTTAGGCACCAGCAGTTTTACCCATCATTACTGATGTTTTTACAACATCAGCGCAAGTTGTTAAGATGGTAAAAATTATGTCTTGATATCATTATAAAAATAGTTTTGACTTTGTGGATCCCCTTAAAATATCTTGGAGACCCATAGGGTCCCACAGACCACACTTTGAGAACTGCTGGTCTGATGAATTTCCCTGAGCCTGCTCTGGTTAAGCCACTCTCTAGCTTTAAATCCTAAAGTAATTTTCCTTGACTCTTGAGATAAAAATCTAACAACTTTAACATAGTCTGTTATTGGTCCCCATTCTGTTTCTCCAGCTTCATTACATGACATACTCTCCATTGACAGTACAGTCCACCCACTCTGGGCTTTTTCACTTCCTTAAATGAACCAGCCCCTTTCTATGCACTTTTTCTTGCCCTGGGAAATTCTGCCTCCACACAATACTTAACAAACTCTTATTCATTCTTCAAGTCTCATATTTCATAGTACTTCCCTGGGGGAAGCTGAAAGTAGTCTAAGTGATCTACCCATGATGCTCACTGCCATAGCATCTTTTATTTCTCCTCTGTAGTCCAGATCCCAAATGTTAATTACCTAATTACATTGTACCTACTTCTTCAATGGCTAGGCCCTTGGATCTAAGGTAAACTCCGTAAGGGCAGGAACTATACATCTCACACTCAAGACTCTATCCCCAAGGCCAATGAGTGAATAAGTGAACTGCAGCACATACTTTTACATTTAGTTTGCAGAATTAGGACATTGGGGAAGGTTTTTTTTTTAAAAAAAAGAAGAGAAATATCTTGAATAAGTAAATAGAAACATTTTTATTAAAGAAGAAAATGTAAGCATATTCTTATATAAAGAATAGAACATACAAAGACAAATGCCATAAAAATAAATTACTATAAATAAATAAATAAATAAATAAATAAATAAATAAATAATACATATTTTATAATATAAGTTTTAGCCAAAAGGCACCAGTTACATTTCCTCCAATTCTGAAAATAGTTGACATAGATACGCTTAATAGTACTGATACAAATATGCCAAATATGACTCAAAGTATTTTATAGCTGAAGCAAAAAACAGTTTTGGAATGACTGAATTATTAAGCATCTGAGCTAGGACATTAGTCCCTGAATCAGGTTCCTTCCTACTTCTTGAGTTTTCTTATAAGCTTGTTAATGAAGAGAAAGCAGCTCTTGATTTCTACTCTGACAATTTCCCAGGCACAGTCACTGTATTTCTTCTCTTTCAGGTAGAGGTGGATTTCCCGGAAATACCTCTTCACAGCCAGTGCAGGGCCCTCAGTTCCCAGGGCAGATTTCTCCTCTCCCATCGCCTGCACCAAACAGGTGTCCAGGTCTTCCAGCTGCCGATGGAGTCCAGTGCAGAGTCGGTCCAGGAGGGTGGTGTTCCAGGCAGCAGAGGAGCGCTCTGTGTGGAAGAGGCTGAAGATCTGCTGGAGCATCTCGTGGAGGACAGAGATGGCCTGGGCCTCCTGGAACTGGCTGCCATCCAGCTCCTTCTGGGGGAATTTGAAGTCAGTCCTATACTTCAGACAAGAAAGAAGAGAGATTGTCCCCATTTGGTCCAGAGCTGTGAAGGTCTCCTGCCTTCCCGAGCCAAGGCTATGAGGCAGGTCACAGCTAATGGAGGAAATGGGCCTGGAGAAGATCATCACTAACACCGTCAGTGAAGAGACCAGAAACGCCATTGGTAAGTCCCAAGAAGACACTCTTCTGGTTGAGATGGAAAACTGTGAGTTTTGTCTAGCTTTTCTGTCTGTGTGCCTCTTAAATATTGAGCATAAGTTTTCATTTTCTGAATTTCCCCCAGATCTTTGTACTTCCCCATTTTGTGCTTTCCTTTCCCTTTAAGGGTCTGGAAAGTTGTCATTAGTTTCTGTATTTTTACAATTGAAGTGAAATTCATTCATTTAAAAAATTAGAAGTCCTAATTCAATGGAATGTGTATCATCTTAACAAAAACCAGCTTTGAACTAATGATAGAGCTATCTAGATCTTTCTTCCTGATATTAAGAACGACTTTTACTAGGCATCTTTTTAAGATCTTTCTCTTCTCTCTGCATACACCTCTTGGAAGTGTTGAACTGGAGTGAAAGATACCTGAACTGTATATGCATGGATCTCACCTTATTCTCTGTTGTAAAACATTTAGTTTGTCGAATTTGTTTTTATATACTCTAGTTAACTGAGAAATTAGGAAACACTTACTCTGTGCCAATCATTACACTGAGCACAGCCTATATCAAGATGACTAAACCTCCAATCTTGCCCTCAAGAAGGGTAAAGTGCAACCACTTCAAGAATTTAGAATGTCTTTGCTGCTTTGTAGCAGCCTCTTTGTCCTAGCCCAGGCCATTGTCCTAGTGCTATTGAATTAATGATTAAGCAACCCATTTTTTTTGTTATTTTTACATGATTTTAAAATTAAAAAATTTAAACTTCTATTTATAAAATAAATAAGTTGTGGGGATGAAAAGTACAGTATAGGGAACACAGTCAGTAAAACTCTAGTAACTGTACGTGACATAATATGTCACTTAATGTGGTGAACATTTCATAATACATATAAGTGTCTAATCGCTGTGTTGTACATCTAAAACTAATATAAATGTCAACTATACGTCAATAAAAATTTTTAAATAAATAAACAAAAATTGTTACCTCTTCTTTTGTAAAGAAGGTAACAATTTCACTTTATTGAAATTGTCCTAATGCTACTGTAATCTTTTCTATTTCCATTTTGAGGTTTGTTGCAAAAAAAGGAAGAGAAAATGTAAGGAAAAAAGAAGTAACTAATATCCTCTATGATTTTCAAGACATCAGGACTTTCCTCTCTCTTTTAACATTCCTAGAAAGTAAAAGTAAGCTGTTATGAAAATGTAACGCACAAAGGCAAATGGAAAGTAAATGCTGAAAATGAAAAAACATCTTCTCTATCCAAATGATGAAATGTCACTTAACCATAGAAGTCATGGAGTAAGAGGTCTACAGAGTGACAGGTTTCAGACCAGCCCATGTGAGTGTTGTCACTGCAGACAGGTCCAGAAGGAAGGCAGCTGACTTCTTAAGGCAGGCTGTTATCTAAAAAGCTAGCTTTCAGCTTTGCTAAATCAGAAAATAGATTTGTCTGTTTACCTTTTTCACAGAGATTATCAGATTTCACGAATTTAGTCATACCAACTCACACTCAAAAGAGACTGGGTTATTGATTGGGTGACCATTTTATTAATATGTGAGAAAGTCATTTATTACCTGGAAGCTAATAGATCTTATTCATTTGAACACATGCTCAGGTTCACATAAGAGATGAGATTAGAAATAGAAATGTTTATTAGTGAGCTGAAAAAGAAGGGAAGCAGATCATCTCAGGGAAATGTTCATCTATTTCCCATAGTTTGATGAATTAGTTTACTCCATTCTGGGAATGGCTAATAGATGTTGAGTGCGTATTTTGTCCACGCATTTATTACAGGTACATTACAACATCCAATCTTCACAAAAACACAATGAAATGGAAAATTCCCATTTTTCGTAGTCACCAACCATTTGCACATTCCAGAGACATTGCAATACACTTGAAGAGGATACTGCTCCCTTTTCATATGCTAAGTTCCAGTCCTGACTTTGAAATGATGTGTTTTGTTGCAGTCTACTGGATCTTTGAAACTTTCTGTTCCCAACTAAAAATATTTTCCAAAATTATCCAGGAGGTTAAAACACTCATTTAAAATTTATTCTTACTATCTTTGTTTTCAGAAGACTATCATTTGTGTCACAGTCACCAAATTTTAGGTCTACTCACTCCTTGGAACATGCAGTCCTTTTTGTATTTGCTGTGGAATAGAAGCCCTCTGTGCACCTCCTCTGTGACAGGCATCTTGCTGGACTCTCAAGATACAGCATTATTGCCCTCAGGGAGCTTGCATTCTATCAGGGTAGTCTTATGTTAAACAGATAATTAGATTGATTACTTAATTACAAGTGTACAGAGTGTAGGTAAAGGAGAATGCTTAACGTTACTGAAGAGTAACGTGGGGGCAGAACGGTATGGTGGTAAAGAACCACCTACATAATAAATGGTGTGTTTTAGAAAGTTAAATAACCTCTCTGAGTTTTCAGTATCCTCACTTGCAAAATGCAAATAGTTATAGTAATTCCCTCACAGGGAAGCTGTAAAGACTGAATGAAATAATATAAAATACTTTGCTGAGCTCCTGTATATAATTAAAAATTGCTGCCATTAATATTATTAAAAATAATTTGTATAAGAGAAGACAAGTAGTGATTCTATAGCATCTTACTATGCTGATGGACAGTGACTGTAATGCGGTATGTGGTGGGGACTTGATAATAGGGGGAGTCTAGTAACCATAATGTTGTTCATGTAATTGTACATTAATGATAGCAAAATTTAAAAAAATCTGTATATTACAGATTCAATGAAGATATGTCAATGATAAAGTTTGAATACCATTGCAGCCCCATTATCCCTGAGTACGTGGTAGCATATCACTTGCCCATGGAATATCTATGGAGATGATATTATCTGCATACAATGAGCGAGGCAAAGTTTTTACTGTGAAATGTTGTACATGGTAGAGAACCGAGAGAGTTACACACAGGCAAACTTGAATCTTTTAAAGAAACCAGCCCCTAGTAAAGTGAGGTACCATAACTGACTTCTAACAAGTACTATCTGTGATGTGTTCCCCAGACAATATCTTCAGTGAGTTTAAGGCCAACTCAGGTGATATCATTAAAGTACATATACAATTGAAATTTTCAAAGAGGGGATAAGTGTAAATAAGGAAAAAGTAAGAAAAATAAAAATTTTCCCTTTTATAAGCTTATTTATATTTCCTGCTGACCTGGAAAAGCCAGCACTTACTGTTTGACTGTTTCTCCCTTCTCTGACTTTGTCTAGGCTTTTCTCCCCAAGAACAACCTGGGAGGTAGGAATAACACGTTATAATGAGGTATAGATACTGCAATGGCACATGTAGTTTGGAGTCTCTCATCTAGGCACATCTGAAAATGTGCACTTATTTCATCATGTCAATAAATGCACATTTTAAAATTGACTTTCTAAAAAAAAAATGTGGAAAAGGAAAATAAAGGGCAAAAAGTGGAAAAACCCAGAAAATGAAAGTTTCTATACTCACTATTTAAAAGGCACTCATTACCCAAAGTCCTCAGAACTTGCTGAGACTTCCCCTTCAGGCAGACGTGCAGAATCCCCCAGCTTCCCAATGGCCCTCCCAATCTCTGTACTGCTGGCCCTGGTGATGCTGTGCTCCAGCCCCACTGGCTCTCTGGGTTGTGATCTGTCTCCAAGCCAAGGCAGTCTGGAAACGTTCACACTTTTGAGTCAGATGGAGAGAATCTCCATTCTGTCTTGTCTGAAGGACAGGACTGATTTCAGATTTCCTCAGGTGCTTGTGGATGGGAACCAGTTGGAGAAGACACAGACCATAGCGGTCGTGCATGAGATGCTTCAGCAGATCTTCAACCTCTTCATCACAAGTGGCTCTTCTGTGGCTTTGGAGGAGACCTTCCTGGACAAATTCCTCACTGGACTTTATCAGCAGCTGAGTGAGCTGGAGACATGTTTGGAGGAGGAAAAGGAGGTGGAACACTCACTCCTGGGAAGTGAGAACTCCAGACTGATTGTGAAGAGGTACTTCCAAGGAATCAGTTTGTATCTGAAAGGGAAAGAATACAGCCGCTGTGCCTGGGAGGTTGTCAGAGTGGAAATCAGAAGGTGCTTACTCTTCATTAAGAAGATCACAGGAAAACTCAGGAAATAAAGAAGATGTCGAGTCTGAAAACAGTTCATCTGCTCAACAAAATGGCTATTTTCTTAGACTCATAGTGCAATCTTCATCTTTATTTTTTATGCCTGATGAGAAATATGAATAGCAAATGTATGAGATTGTTACAGAATTGTGTTAAATGTAAGTTATAGTAAGTTGTTTAGAACAGAGAAATGCACAATCCATATAGCTGAAAAAATTTTTGTACTTTTTATTTATTTAAGTTATTTGAAAAATTTATTCTGTTTATAGTATTTAAATATTTATTGCTCAAAAAACTTTGTTCAGTATTATTGTGTTCAAGACTACTGTTCATTTTTAAGTTGTGGAAAATAAAAACAATTTTTAAAAGCCAATTTTGGCTGCACACACTTTTTGAATAAAAACCTAACTGAAAGCCTGATCCCACAAAATAAACCTAAGCAAGGTTCCTGGATGAAGAGGAAATAAGTGTAGCCCAGCACAGATCACAGCACAATGACATTTTGAGGAGGGACTGAATGTGATTCCCCCAAGCATAGATTAAAGGAGGAAGAGAGACTTGTGGAGAAAAGTCTAAGACATGGGCACAACTATCTGCTCTGTGCCTGTAACAACAGGAGATGCTAAACTGTTTAAAGGATAGCTACAGAAGCCAAGAGAAGTCATTCTAGGTATGTGGACACTGGGGTATCTTAGAGAAGGCTGAGGAAGGAAGGGTGAGTAAGTTTTATGCACTTGACCAGTCCTGATGTCTCATTTCTCATTGTTGTATTCTAAATATTTCAAGCACAAAATTTAAGAAAGCATCCCTGTAATAAAAATTAATCATAATTTACATGGTAGTGCCCTTTTATTTTCCAAGATGGTTTCAAATTCATTATTTTGACTCTTAA